ATAAATACAAGCCTCTCCTTGCAAAATAGTGCCAATGTAGAGACATCAAGTAATTGGTTCCGTAAAAAAAGTTTCGTGTTTTTATTGGATTGCATTATTAAAGTACATGTTGCGGGTTTTTTTTCATTAACAGATTTAATAAATTTTTTATCAATATCAAAAAATATATTCTGATAGAAAAATTTACAAGTTCTATATGCGAATTCATGAGTGTGGAGACAAACCGAAAGAGGAGACACGTGGACTCCACTTCCTCTTTTACTTACTTTTACTCAAGGTATAAGTTCAAGGTAATAGGAAAAAGGAAAAATTATAAAGAAATACAAGGTTTTATCCTTCTCATTCACATGTAGGAGCAGCTTATCTTTTTCGACCACATTTAGATCTAGAATAATGATAAATACAAGCCTCTCTTTGCAAAATAGTGCCAATGTATAGACATCAAGTAATTGGTTCCGTAAAATAGTTTCGTGTTCTTATTTGATTGCATTATTAAAGTACATATTACAGGTTTTTCTTCATTAGCACATGTAATAAATTTTTTTATCAATATCAAAAAATATATTCTGATAGAAAAATTTACAAGTACTATATGCGAATTCATGAGTGTGGAGACAAACCGAAAGAGGAGACACGTGGACTCTACAACCTCTTTTACGTACTTTTACCCAAGGTAAAAGGAAAAAGGAAAAGAAATAAAGAAATACAAGGCTTTATCCTTCGCGTTCACATGGAGGAGCAGCTTGTCTTTTTTGACCACGTCTAAAACTAGAATAATGATAAATACAAGCCTCTCCTTGCAAAATAGTGTCTATGTATNAAATACAAGGCTTTATCCTTCACATTCACATGCAGGAGCAACTTGTCTTTATCAACCACATCTAGATCTAGAATAATGATAAATACAAGCCTCTCCTTGCAAAATAGTGCCCATGTAGAGATCAAGTAATTGGTTCCATAAAAACAGATTCGTGTTCTTGTTGGATTGCATTATTAGGGTTCATATTGCAGGTTTTTCTTCATTAACAGATGTAATAAATTTTTTGATCAATTTCAAAAAATATATTCTGATAGAAAAATTTACAAGTACTAAATGCGAATTCATGAGTATGGAGACAAACCGAAAGAAGAGACACGTGGACTGCACTGCTTCT